CATAGGGGAGAAAGAAAGGGACCCCAGATGATTGACTTGGTGGAGGTTAGCTCTGCAAGCTACAGACTAAGGAGAGTAGTGAGGATGGATCAGAGGGGAGAATAGAGGAAGATCAGCTTATACCACATATATCAAATATCACAGTTAGCTTTCTTGACTCTATTATGTTTTATTTGGACTTGTCTTTTCTTGCACCAAGAACACTCTGTGTGTATTTTCTTTTACTATGTATTTATTAATATCTGATAAAGTGAATTTGAAAAACTTTTTGTTTTATAATTATCTTAGCTATTAGTAAATATTAAGTCTTTCACATAATTTTGATATTAAAATATTTTATTGTTCCTGATATTCTACTAGCATTATATTAAGTCTATTATTACTATGAGGTGATTTATCTTTAAAATGTTAGTATTTCCCCTCCCCAAACATTATGTGGTTATCCAATTATTCAGGCATATAAAAATATTTTTCAAACTCCAAAGAGATCTCATGCATTATTTAAACTAACTTAATTAAACTGAAGAAAATGAGTACTATTTAAAAATTTTATTTGTATTTATCTATTTACTTATCACTTTCTATGTAAATTATATCATCCACATTTATTCATTTTGTCCTTTTCTAATACTTGTACTGTACTGACATTTTATTTTATTATTGTGTTAGATATAAAACTTTAAACTTAAGAAGAAAGATTCCAAAGGTTTCTTTCCACACTGTATTTATGGAGATGTCTATAGGTAGCCTTTATCAAGACGAAGACTCTCCTTCCTATTTCCATTTTCACACACTGTAATGATCATTCACAAGCTTCCCTGACATAATATTCAGACACTTTATTGTGATTTTTCATAAAAGAGAATTTAAATGATTCAAACCATATGATATATAATAAACAACATTGTTCATGTTCTATTTTCAAGGAGAGGCAAGTCAAGTTGAAACTTGTACTTGCTTAAGAATTGTTGTTAAATACTAATGGCAAAAATGAGTTTGAACAAACAGTCCCACACACTGGGTGGGGTTGCCACCTTTGAATTTCTCTTGTGAAGGGATATACATACATCTTAGACTGGGAAAATAAGCTGCAGCACACAGTCATTCATTGGAGTGTGTGGGTGTTTAAGGGAGTGGAGAAGGTACTTCCAGAACATCTGGTAGGAATCTAGGTCCTTAACAATCTTGAGAAGTTGACCTACCAGTCTTGAAATGTTTGTCTTTGGTCTTCTTTGATCTTCTTTAAGAAAACCTTAAAGATAAAGGTAGACATTAAATTGGTATAAATAGTATGTATAATATATTTATTTACATTAAAGAATAACAATAAGCTGAACAACTGTGAACTGCAATCCAAATCCATCTAAGAAAAAAATGAGTTTCATCATTAAACAATATAAAAAGTTTGGTGGGGCAACTCTGTACATTTAAAGACTCAAGTTCCTTCTATTTTACCTGGTGCTCCATCATCTTCAACCTATGGCTTCCACTTTAAGGTTCAAGGTATATCTGAAGTAGAGCCATCAGGATGGTATTCAGTCTTGCCCCAAGGAGGAAGAGAAGAAGAAGGTGTGCCTCCTGCCTTTAGGGATTAAGGAAAGTTGTTTACAGTTCTGCTTACATAGTATTGGCCAGAAAACAGTCATACTTAGTTGCAAGGAATCTGAAAAGTGTACTCTGTTTTGATTGTTTGAGTTTCTCCATGTACACTGGATGTTCTTTATCAAGACAAAACATAGAATTGTTCCTATTAAGTGATAACTAGTGATTTATATGATAAAAAGTAATTAATATATTTTAGATATTGATCTTTTGTTATTTCTAGGTCTTTCAAATTCTTCTGTATCAGGACTTGCCATTTTACTTTCTCTATAATGCCTGTGGATAAACATACTATTAAATTTATCAGAGCTGAATTTAATATTTTCCATTGCCATTTTATTCACAGCTTAAGACATTTTTCCATCTCCTAATTTCATGAAAGTGTATTCCTATAAAATGATGTAACATTTTGATAGCTTTGACTTAGCTTCTGTATAGTTTATAGACTTAGAATCTCCACTTTGCCCATGCGGTTGTCTCAGCACCATTCATGGAGCAGTGATGCTTTCCTTAATTGATTTGCAATGCTAGTTCTATCATGGACCAGGCCTCCATCGGTATTTGTATCTGTTATTGAGATCTCCATTTTGGCTTATCCATTCATCTATATCTACACTACTATCACAATTCTTTATAACTGTAATAGTTTTATAGTAAGTCTTGATATCACTTAACTCATATTTTCTCACATTTTTTTCTTCAGAAGAAGAATCTTGGCTCTTTTTTGGACCATCACTGTTTTATGTATGTTTTACAGTCATTGTTTTAAGATTCATAAAACAAACAAACAAAAAAACCCCAAAAGTCAAAATTGTGACTGAAAGTACATTGACTCTATAGAGTGTTTTGTATAGACTTCATATCTTTGTGATGCCGAATGTTCCAGTCCATAAACACTTGTCTCTGGGATTTAGAATAATTATGTAGTATTTTCCAATAGGTACTATTATAATAGAGGGTCATAATTTTGTTAATAAAATTTTTAAATTTTTTAGTACATTCATCCCTGAGGACTTTATATTTTTGTTGCTTTTATTAATAAATAATAGTTTTGAAAAGCTGTGTGTGCTAACTCTATTATTAGCAGAAATGCAAGTAATTTTTAAATAAACAAAATGTATTTAGAAAAATATGATTTGCTATTTAAAAAACACAAGAGCGTATGTAGCTAAATTATTATAAATGATAAGAGATTTTAACTAATTAAGACTCAGTTATTCACATTATGTTTGTGAAATTGTTTGTTAGATATTGATATTATTTTGGGTTATATGTGTAGGCTTATTGTTAAGATATTTGTATTTTTCTTAATTTAGTTATTACCAATAAGGTCACCATGAAGTTTATCATATATCACTTGTTCATATGTCATGTATTTCTTTGATTATATACACAGATGTAGAATTGCTGGATCATAGGCTATGTGTATTTTCAACTCTAGTGGAAGATGCTAAATTACTTCCAAAACAGTAGTATACTCTTACCTGTGGTTTTACTTTCTGCAGTATCAGTTACCCACAGTCAACCACAGTCCAAAAATATTACATGGAAAATTCCAGAAATAAGTTAGTTTTAAAATGCATGCCATTCTGAGCAACATGATGAAATCTTGCACTGACCTGCTTCATCTCACCCCAGAGATAAATCATCCTTCTGTACAGCAGATACACACTGTATATGCTACCCACACATTAGTCACTTAGTAGCACCCTCAGTTAATAGATCAACAGTTGTGATATCACAGTGCTTGGTTCAAGTAAGCCTTATTTTACTTAATAATGGCCCTAAAATGTAAGAGTAGTGATGCTGGCTATTTAGATACACCAAAAGGAAGCCATAAAGTGTATGCATGTATAGGAAAACATAGTCTATACAGAGGTCAGTACTATTTACAGTTTTAGGCATCGACTAGGATCTTGGAATGTATCTCTCTCAGGTAAGGGCAGACTGCTGTATCATCCTACCAATGCACTCAAACCAGCCATGAACATGAGGAACGTCCTGTATACCATATGATACCACATTCTTGTCAAAACTTGGTGTTATCATTGTCTCCATTCTGGTGGGTGTGGCAATATTACACTGTGATTTTAATAAACATTTTCCTGATTCTTAATGAGGTTCTATATTTTTTCTTGTCTTTACTAATATTTAGATATTTTTTATATTGAAATTGTTCAGGTCTCTTGCCTATTTTTCTTTTGGCTTATCTGCCTTAAAAATCATTTGTGTAATTGAAAAATTAAAATATATATTCAGGATATGAGCTCTTTTATCAGTTGAAGTTTTACAAATATCTACCCCCAATATGTGTCATTGCTTTCATCTATATTATTTTTTCCAATTCTATTTTCTTTTTAATGGGTAGATTAAACCATTGCATGAGACATCTGATCTTTAGATTTTTCTCTCCTTTAATACATTATTTTATATTCTTGTATGATAAAACACTAATCTCAAAACAGAATCACAATGTTGATATTTGCATGTAGGCACTCCATATTCTAGTAGGTAAAATCTAATACTTCATTTATTGACATATTTGAGACCCTTCATGTATGTGACTTTGCTTAACTGTTGAATATGTGAAACCAAATATACATGTATGTCCCTCAATCCATCATGCCAATGCCTATCTCCATATCTTAGCAGTGTCTTTTTATTTTTGTATCTAGGATTTCTAGAAAAAGAATTCAAACTTATTACTAAGAGTTTATTGGAGGGGGGATGCAATTTAGGCACCAAAAGTGAGGGGGGAAATTATAAAATAAAACAAAGAAGGAGTAGCATTTATCTGCTTACTTATTCTTATTACCTGTTAGCATCCCTTCATATATGAGTGTTTTTACTTAGGCCTTCTGGGAAGCCACTGAGGAATCTAGATCCCACCTCCCTGGTGTGATATTTCCTCTGCATGTGGAAGTAGTTGGTGAGGCTAGAAATTCCATAGATTCAGGCTGGTCTGCCCCTACCCATAACAGTGAGCTTGTCAATGTTTTGCTAAAGCTGGCATATCCCCCATGGAAGACATACAAGTGTTCGCTTTAGGAAATGAGGCAATTTCAAAGGCAGCAGCCAGGGCTCTCCACTTAGCAAGTGGCCCAGGCCAAAGGGCAAAATGGACCAAGTAAATGTGGGGATGTGAGTAGCTGGGTTCTGTGTACTTTTGTGCTCTGGTCTAAGAAAAAGAGCCATGGTAAGAGCACAGGAAGGAAAGAGAAAAAAGAGATTACCTCAATGGGTCTGACATTTGTGGTTTGACTAAGTCATTTGGTTGTATATCAAAGGGAATTTGCTCAAAAAGGCAGGATTTCAAAATTATCTGTTTGTGTGTGTGTGTGTGTTACCATGATTCTTGCTGCCTGATCTCACAAATGAAATGCTATTTCATTTTCCAGCTGTGATGGAGCCTTCATTTTCCTGTGCATCTGTATACTTTGTGGCCATTCTGCTCTTACAGATGGTGCTAACTTCAGGTAGGGACATCTATTTCTTTTTCATGGTGTGTCACATCTATAAAGAAAGACAATGGAGATAAATGACACTGAAGGAAATGAAGAAGTTTTCTCACTGATATTGCTATGTTATGAAGGTTACACCCTTCATGTTAAAGTTTTGAGGGTATAAATGAGTCTCAAAACAACGTATGATTAAGAAATGCGATTTCAGTGACTGTCTTTCTCGGCCACAGGTCTATGCTGCAGAGCTGCATTGATGTGTCTTGGAGAAGAGACAGATAAATGTCTACTATCTCCCCCTGGGAGGCTCAAATTATCACTGGCAAAAATTATAATGAATATATCTCTTATATTTAAGAAAAAACCTAATCATTTATGTGACTGTAATTTTAGTTTAGAATTATAAGTTTAGTAGGACCTCAAATAATGATGTTGGTGTGAGCTGTATCTGTCCACAAATTTTTCTTTGGGCTTTAAGTCTGATAATTCAGAATCCTTACAGTGAGAAGGATAAACCTTGTTGGCAGAGACAGGCATGAATTTGGTGGAGTTGAAAGGAGCAAAAACTCAGAGCAGGAAAGGAGCTGTGTGATAGTCACCTATAGCTTCATAACAAGTTATTCCCAAAATGAGCAATTTAAAACAACAATCATTTTATTATATTCCACAGTCCAGGAATTATGGCCAGGGCATTCTTCTGTTCCATGTGACATAGACTGAGCTCACTTGGTATACCCAGCTGGTAGGCAGGATGCTCCGGGGGGCTCAAGGTGGCTTCATTCACATCTAACTTTGGTGCAGTAGGCTGGAAGGCTGGAATCAGCTGAGATTATCAAATGGCATGTCAACATGTGGCCTTTTTGCTGTGGTGGATTCAGGATAGTCAGACATCGTTTTGGCAGCTCACAGCTTCCAGAAAAAGTGTTATAAAACAACAGGAACAACAAAGGATGAGAACTGCTCATTTCTTAAGATAAGCTCATAAATTATTGCGGGTTTTCTTCTTCCATATTCTATTTGCAAAGCACTCTCAGAAAACATAGTTTCAAGGGAAGGAGACACAGATCCTTTTTCTTTGCAGAAGAAACGCCAAAAAATTTGTGGCCATCTTTGATCCACCAAAACTGGATGCTGAAAAAAAGCAGTTAGTAGGTTGGATAAGTAAAGTATGTTGTTCAGCAGTAGTGGTCCACATCCCGTCTCTAGATAATAGGAGTATCTTCCATCCTTTATTAAGTATTTACAGAATGTCTAATGTGTACAGGCAATGTTTTATGCACTGAGAATAATAAAGAGAGATTAAAAAGGGAATAAGACAAAATTCTGCTGTTGCGTGACTTACATATCAATGGGCCAAGAAAGAAAATAAAGACAGAAATTAAAAATATTTTTATTTTTTATGTTATATATAATAACATTTTATGTTACATGTTATAGGTTATAGGTAGTTATATGTACTATGAAGACATGTTTAGGTATGATTAGGGGAAATGTTAAATGGGTAGACACAACAAATTTCTCCAATGAGTTGCCATTTAAGCTGGGACATGAGAGACAATGAGGCAGAGACTGGAGTGCTGCTTTCAGAGGGAAGATACTTCAGAGAGTAACTGAGTCAGAAGGACTTGGCATCAAGAACCAGAGAGAAAGCCAATGGGTCTAGAGCAGAAGGATGTAAGTGAAGCATTCTTCTGTGAACTTCAGACTAAAACCTCGATCTCTGACTTCATCCACAGAGCAATTCACTGTGAGTACCCCCAGCAGACACCAGGTGGTCATGGTAGGTGAACATGCTGAGCTCAGCTGCCAGCTGTCCCCCCCACAGAGTGCAGACCACATGCAGGTGGGCTGGTATCAAGATCACTACCAACCAGTTTCCATTTACAAGAAAGAGGATGACATTCAGAACTATGAGAATCACACAGTGATCCTGAAAGAGGCCTTGGGAGAGGGAAAAATGACCCTCAGAATCTACAAAGTCACTGTTTCTGATGGGGGGCAGTACCACTGTTTTTTTAAAGATGGTGATACCACTGAAGAAGCCACTGTGGAGCTGAAGGTAGCAGGTAAGGACGAAGGAGTCATCTCCAGGTTTCCTTGGCAGTGCTGCTCCAGACTCAGGATCTAGAATTTGGGAATGCTAGCCATGAGGGAAAGATCTCTTGGCATTTTAAAAAATTATAACTTCTAAGTAAAATGAAATAATATAATGTATAGAAAAATACATAGAATAATATAGTTACAAAGATACTTGGTTAACAATTAGTCATAGTTACTTTAGATCAAGTAAAATCTCCTTTGCATTCGTTAATGGTGCCATTCACTTTTTTCCTTTTCAAAAAGTAACCATTAATTAAACTCATATTGTCTCATTTGGTTTACATATTTATTCATAAAAATAGATAGTATTGTTTTGTGTGTTTTTAAATTTTGCATGATAGTATCATTATACATACTCTATTGACAAGATTATACTCTCAGTATTTTATTTTTGTTATCAATCCATACTTATTTAAATAGATACAATCCATTTTTTAACTAAATAGAGTATTTCATGTCATAAATATATGACTATTGATTTATGTATGCCCATGTCAGTGGACATTAAGGTAGTAGACAATTTTCTGTTCCTTTGTTAAACTGTTGTATTTGTGTGCAAGAGTTCTTTTAAGATCAAGGAACATTTATGAAGGACACCTGGACAAAGCTACAGAGGGGTGGATCTGAGGGTGGGAAGCAGGGATGGGTGGGGCAGAGGAGCATGGTAGGGTGAAAATGGAGATAATTGTACTTGAACAACAATTAAACAAAGATACATAGCTGGTAGTTAAGTTGCAAGGGCATTTTGTGCAAATATCTTTAAATTCCTTTGGCAATTGCCCACTGAAATGATCAGATCAATTTACAATTGACTCAAGTCATGTAAAAGCTATGTCTACACCAATACTTGGAATTATCATGATTTTAAACTTGGGCAATTTTTATTTTAGTTTTGGTTTCCCTTATTAATAATACATTTTTCTTTGTTATATATTGGAGACTCAATTTTTCCTTTTAGATTCTTGCCTGTTTATTATTTTTGCCCAATTTACATTTGAGTTCTTCAATTTATTTTGTCTATTGCCTTTTTAAAAAGCATTTTTATTATGACATGTTACACAGATATAATTTTGATATTATCAAATTTACAGTCTACCAATTATTATTTGTGATTTGTGTCACACTTAAGAAATCCCTTCCAATCTTCATGTTATAAAAATATTTGCTTCTAAAATTTTAAAGGTCTTTTTTCACACTTGGTTATTAATCTATGTAGATTTTGTTTTAGTGTTTTTTATGAGTTAATAATGCCTTTCAATATTAAAATATATATTTATTGACTATTCCTAATAGCTGTAAGGTACTTCTGTCATTTACCAAGACCATACCTCTGCATGAATCTTCTCATGAGTTTTTAAAATTTTTTTATTATTGTTCAATACACTTGGTTCAATTTTCCCCCCGCCACTTTCCCCTGCCCCACCCAGCCCCACCTCCCACCTTCAAATTCTGCCCCCTTTGGCTTTGTAAAGACATGTTTCTTGAAGACTCTTCCCCTTCTTTCCCCCATTATCCCTTTCCCTCCTTCCCCTCTGGCTACTGTCAGTTTGTTCTTTATTTCAATGTCTCTGGTTATGTTTTTGCTTGCTTCTCATGAGTTTTTAATTTGATAATCTTTTATGTCACAATGATCTAATTATCTATATCTAGTACAGAGTGGGTCAAAGCAGGGTTACAGTTGTGAGTACACAAAACACAGTTTATTCTTGTATCATTACTTATTAATTATGGTTTTATTTTCCATACAAACAACTGTAAACCTACTTTTGAGGCACCCTGTACAATACTGCTTTATTTAAATTATTACAGCTATGTGCCTTGGTATATGATAAGGCATATCTTCCAATCTTGCTATCCTTCAAAACTGCTTTAGCCCATTATAGTATGAATTGTTATAACAAAATTAAATCTTCTTAGTAAATGTGATTGAAACTGAATTGAACTTAGTAACTAATTTAGAGAGATTTGCCATGTTTCTTTATTACATCAGTGAACATTTACTCAGCCTTCTTTATTTTATTTCAATTTATGTTTCAGTTAAATTTGATATGTTTACCCATAAAGTTCTTGCAAAATTCATTAGTCGTATTTTTGGATTATGAGTGAGATGGTATTGTTACAAATTTTAATGATTATGCTTGTGATCATCAAAAACTGATTTGTTTTTTATTTTTTATTTTTCTAAAATGTTATTTACTTTTGGAATAAAAACATCAAGATTCAAAATTTAATAATTTAAAGGATGCATGCTGAAAAGTCTTCCATATGGTCTCATCTTATAGCTATGAAGATCACCTCTCACAGGCAACTAATGTGATCAGCTTCTTATATATTACTTCCTTAGATATTTTACATTTAAATGTATAATATATATAAACATGCTTATGTAGATGCATATTTAAATACACAGACATACAACTATATATGTGTATACCTGTATATAACATTTATATATACCCATATATTTTTAAATGAATGCTATTGTATTATATACATTGTTTTACAATGTGCTTTCGTTACTTAATAAAATGAACTAAAGAAATTAATATTACTACATAAATTTTTTTCTTTTTTTAATTTATTTCTTTTTATTTTAATCTTTGTTCAAGTACAGTTTTCTCCCTTTTACTCCCATTCCAGCCCACCCACCCAACCCTCCCCACTTTCCTCCCATTACCACCCTCCCCCTAGTTTTTGTCCATGTGTCCTTTAAATTTGTTCCTCTAAACCCTTCCCATTCTCCCTTGAAATTCCCTCTTCTCTCCCCTCTGGTCACTGTCAGTCTTTTCTCTATTTCAGTGTCTTTGGTTATATTTTGCTTATTTCTTTGTTTCGTTGTTTAGGTTCCTATTAAAGGTGAGATCATATGGTATTTCTCTTTCACTGCTTGGCTTATTTCACTTAGCATAATGCTTTCCAGCTCCATCCATGCTGTCTCAAAGGGTAGGAGCTCCTTCTTTCTTTCTGCTGCATAGAATTCCATAGTGTAAGTGTACCATCATTTTTTGATCCATTCGTTTACTGATGGGCATCTAGGTTGTTTCCAGCACTTAGCTATTGTAAATTGTGCTGCTATGAACATTGGGGTGCAAAGGTTCTTTTGTACTGGTGTTTTAGTGTTCTTAGGATATAGTCCCAGCAGTGGAATTGCAGGGTCAAAAAGCAGATCCATTTTTAGTTTTCTGAGGAAGTTCCATACTGATTTCCATAGTGGTTGTACCAGTCTACAGTCCCACCAACAGTGCACTAGGGCCCCCTTTTCTTCACAACCTCTCCAACACTTGTTGTTTGTTGCTTTGTTTATGATGGCCATTCTGACTGGTGTGAAGTGGTATCTCATTGTGGTTTTAATTTGCATCTCTCTGATAGCTAGCGATATTGAACATCGTTTCATGTGTCTTTGGATCTTCTGTATGTCCTCCTTGGAGAAGTGTCTGTTCAACTCCTTTGACCATTTTTTAATTGGGTTGCTTGTCTTCTTAGAGTGGAGTCATGTAAGTTCTTTATATTTTGGAGATTAAACCCTTGTCTGAGGTATCATTGGCAAATATATTTTCCCATACAGTTGGTTCTCCTTTTATTTTGATACTGTTTTCTTTAGCTGTGCAAAAGCTTTTTATTTTGATGAGGTCCCATTTGTTTATTCTTTCCTTTATGTCCCTTGCTCTAGGAGACATGTGAGTAAAAAGTTTCTGCATGAAATATCTGAGATTTTCCTACCTACATTCTCCTCTAGGACTTTAATGGTGTCACGGTTTATATTTAAGTCTTTCATCCACCTTGAATTTATTTTTGTATAAGGTGTAAGTTGGTGCTCGAGTTTCATTTTTTTGCAGGCAGCTGTGCAGTTCTCCCAACACCATTTGTTGAGTTGAAGAGGCTATTTTTACTCCCTTTTATGTTGCTGCCTCCTTTGTCAAATATTAATTGACCATAGAGATTTGGGTTTATTTCTGGGCTTCTGTTCTGTTCCATTGGTCCATGTGTCTGTTTTTATGCCAGTACTAGGCTGTTTTGATTACAGTGGCCTTGTAGTATAGTTTAGTATCAGGTATTGTGATCCCTCCTACTTTACTCTTCTTTCTCAAAATTGCAGCAGCTATTTGGGGTCACTTATGGTTCCATATAAATTTTTTAAGTGTTTGTTCTATGTCTGTGAAATAAGCCATTGGTACTTTAATAGGTATTGCATTGAATGTGTAAATTGCTTTTGGTAGTATGGACATTTTGATGATGTTAATTCTTCCAATCCATGAATGCAGTATATGTTTCCATTTGTTTGTGTCTTCCCTGATTTCTTTCCTCAGTGTTATGTAGTTTTCTGAATACAGGTCTTTTTACCTCTTTGGTTAGGTTTATTCCTAGGTATTCTCTTTTTCTTTTTGCTATTTCAAATGGGATTTTTTTTTCTTGATTTCTGCTTCTGCTGTTTCATTGTTGGTGTACAGAAATGCCTTTGATTTCTGGATATTGACTGTGTATCCCACTGTTTTGCCAAATTCATTTATTAGGTCTAGCAGTTTTTTGGCCAAGTCTATAGGATTTTCTATGTACATTATCATGTCATCTGCAAACAGTGACAGTTTTGTTTCCTCCTTTCCAATTTGGATGCCTTTTATTTCCTTTTGTTGTCTGATCACTGTGGCTAAAACTTCCAGTACTATATTGAATAGCAGTGGTGAAAGTGGACAGCCTTGTCTTGTTCCTGATCTTAGTGGAAAAGATTTTAGTTTTTGCCCATTGAGTATGATGTTGGCTGTAGGTCTTTCATATATGGCCTTTATTATGTTGAGGAATGCTCCCTCTATTCCCACTTTGCTGAGTGTTTTTATCATAAATGGGTGGTGCACCTTATCAAATGCTTTCTCTGCATCTATTGATATGATCATGTGGTTTTTGTCTTTGCTTTTGTTTATGTGATGTATTACATTTCCTGATTTGCGAATATTGTACCATCCTTGCATCC